TACATATGTATGTATGTATGTATGTATATATATATATACATATATTTATATATATATACAGACATACTGTACATATACAGAATATATATATATATATATATATATATATATGTATGTATGTATATATATATATATATATATATATATATATATATATATATATATATGTATGTATGTATGTATGTATATATATATATATATATATATATATATATATATATATATGTATGTATGTATGTATGTATATATATATATATATATATATATATATATATATATATATATATATATATATATATATATATATGGCCAGTTGGCCTTATGTCCTGAACCTAGCTCTTTGGATGAACTCATCAGGCTGGCCATGTCGATTGACAAACGCCAGCGGGAGCTAAGGAGACATGAACACGAGCCCCTGGCCTGTTCTGCTCAAGAACGTTCTCCTAGACCTCCTGGACGCCCTGTTTCTGATCCCTCCTCCTCTGAGGAACCCATGCAGATGGGGAGGACAGAGCTCACCTCAGAGGAGAAGCAGCACTGTCAGAGGTCTGGTCTGTGCATGTATTGTGGAACCGCTGGACATTTTGTTAATAGCTGCCCTGCTCTGCTAAAAGGCAGAGCCCACCGATAAAGCTGGGACTATTGGTGGGTGGTACTTCTTCTTCTGTGAGTTCCCGGTGTTTCTTTCCCTGTGTTCTATCTGCTCCTTCCAGACAGATTACCGTTTAGGCCCTGTTGGATTCTGGATGCGAACAATCTCTTCTGGACCCCCATCTCGTGGAAAAATGGAAAATACCCACTACCAAGTTGTCTACTCCTCTCTCAGTGTCCTCGCTCGATAAACGCAACCTGTCCACAATCATCCACCAGACTGTTCCGCTGCGCCTGTTGGTTTCAGGTAACCACACTGAGACAATAACTTTTTATGTGTTCCCCTCTCCTCAGTCCCCCCTAGTGTTGGGACATTCCTGGTTGGTTCGTCATAACCCCACAATGGACTGGAAGGATAACAAGATTCTTGGTTGGAGCTCAGATTGTTCTCTACTCTGCTTGCGCTCAGCCTCGCCTGCCACTCCTGACCATCCTACTCCTCCATTGGAAAATATAGACCTTTCCACTGTTCCACCGGTTTACCATGACCTCAAACAGGTATTCAGTAAAGACCGCGCTTCCTCTCTACCTCCCCACAGGCCGTTTGACTGCGCAATAGACCTCCTGCCGGGAGCCCCCTTACCATCAAGTCGTCTTTACCACCTATCTAAACCAGAGAGTGAAAGCATGGAGCGCTATATTCAAGATTGTCTTGCAGCTGGAACCATTCGTCCTTCCTCATCTCCTCTGGGCGCAGGGTTCTTCTTCGTTCCTAAAAAAGAAGGCAGCCTTAGACCATGCATTGACTACAGAGGTTTGAATCAAATCACAATCCGTAATAAATATCCTCTGCCTTTACTCTCCTCCACTTTTGAACCCATCCAGGACTCAACCATTTTCAGCCGTCTGGACCTCCGTAACGCCTATCACCTGGTGAGAATAAGAAGAGATGAATGGAAGACAGCATTCAAAACACCCCTAGGACACTTCGAATACTTGGTAATGCCCTTTGGACTCACGAATGCTCCAGCCGTCTTCCAATCCCTGGTGAACTCTGTACTAGGTGATTTTCTGAATTGTTTTGACTGTTTATTTGGACGATATATTGATCTTCTCCCAGAACCAGGAACAGCACATCCAGCATGTGAGAGTGGTATTACAACGGTTACTAGAAAACCGCCTCTACGTAAAAGCAGAGAAATGCGAGTTTCATGTGTCCACGGTGAAGTTCTTGGGGTTTGTAATTGAGAGCGGGCGGCTGAGAGCAGATCCAGAGAAGGTGCAGGCAGTCACAGAATGGCCCACACCCACCACCAGAAAGCAACTACAGAGGTTTCTTGGGTTTTCTAACTTCTATCGTCGCTTTATCAAGAACTACAGTCAGACTGCTGCTCCGTTAACCAACCTGACATCCATAAATAAACCTTTTGTGTGGTCCTCCAAAGAAGAGTCAGCCTTCAAAGAACTCAAAAATAAATTCACTAATGCCCCAATACTACACCGTCCTGATCCGCAGCGCCAGTTTATTCTGGAGGTCGATGCCTCTGACACCGGGGTCGGAGCAGTACTCTCTCAGGTAGCAGAAGGGGAGAAGAAGCTTCACCCTTGTGCCTTCTTTTCCCGTCGTTTAACCCCAGCTGAGAGTAGGTACGACATTGGCGACCGTGAGCTACTGGCTGTGAAACTGGCGATCGAAGAGTGGAGGCATTGGCTGGAGGGAGCAGAGACCCCATTCCTCATATGGATGAACCATAAAAATCTCATTTACTTAAAGGAGGCAAAACAGTTGAACCCTCGCCAGTACTGCTGGTCCCTTTTCTTTTCTCGGTTCAACTTCCAGCTATCATACAGACCCGGTTCAAAGAATACAAAACCCGATGCCCTATCCAGGCAATATGCCTCGGATCGGGAGACTGAACCTGCTATGATTCTTCCCCCGAGCTGTGTCATAGGTGGAGTCACATGGGAGATATGTGACCAGGTCCTGGAGGTGCTCAAGACCGACCCCGGACCTAATAATGGCCCTCCGGGAAGATTGTATGTACCCCAACCACTCAGAAGCAAGGTTATCCACTGGGCGCATACAGTCAGGTTCTCCCTTCATCCGGGGGTGGGAAGAACGGTAGCCCTCATTAGAAGGTTGTTTTGGTGGCCATCCATGTACAAAGATGCCAAAGACTATGTTTCTGGTTGCCACACTTGTTCTCAGCAAAAGGGGGACCATCGCCCCCCGGCAGGGCTTTTGCAACCTCTGCCCATTCCCTCACGTCCCTGGTCCCACATTGCCCTGGACTTCGTTTGTGGTCTCCCCAATTCACATGGTTTCACTGTCATTCTAACAGATGTTGATCGGTTCTCCAAGGCATGTCACCTTGTCCCTCTTAAATCTCTCCCTTCCTCTGCAGACACAGCGCAGCTCCTGGTTAAACATGTCTTCCGCCTCCATGGGATTCCTGTGGAGATACTGTCAGATCGTGGTCCACAGTTTGTGTCTCGTGTTTGGAAGGAGTTTGCGGAGGCCCTTGGAGCTCAGGTGGCGCTAACCTCAGGACACCACCCTCAAACAAATGGTCAATGCGAGCGCATGAACCAGGAGCTCGGTGCCATGCTGCGCTGTGTCTGCTCTACACATCCTTCCTCCTGGAGCACTCATCTCCCTTGGGTCGAGTATGCACACAACAGTCACGTTTCCGCTGCTACAGGTCAGTCTCCCTTTGAGTCCTCCCTTGGCTACCAACCCTCACTTTTTCCCCAGCAATCCCCGGTGTCACCCTCCGTTCCCCACTTCCTCCGTGGGGCCCATAGGGCCTGGATATTCACCAGAGCGGCGCTTGACCGCACAGCCAGGCGGAACAAGCAATTGGTGGATCGCCGGCGGCGGCCGGCACCCGTCTACTCACCTGGACAGATGGTGTGGTTGTCCTCCAAGGACATTCCCCTCAAGGCCTCAGCCCGCAAGTTGTCCCCGCGGTTCATAGGTCCGTTTAAGATCCTCGACGTCCCCTCAGCCTCCACTGTTCATCTGGACCTTCCCTCTGCCCTCCGGGTTCACCCTGTGTTCCATGTGTCCCTTGTAAAGCCTGTGGTCTCCAGTCCCCTCTGTCCTTCTCCTCCTCCTCCTCCGGCTCGCCTCTACAAGGGGGGCCTTGTTTACTCTGTCTGCAGGATCTTGGCCTCTCGTCGTCGGGGGTGTGGTGTCCAGTACCTCATTGACAGGGAGGGGTACGGTCCGGAAGAACGCTCTTGGGTGCCTGGTCATTGAGGATCCTTCCCTCATCCGGGAGTTTGAAGTTTGAAGCTACCTCTGCCAGGACGCCAGGGGGCGTCCGTTGAGGGGGGGGGGGGGGGGGGGGGGTACTGTCATGAGCCGGGGTGAGTACTCTGCCCATCATCTAATCATCTCTGAGTTCTTACCTGCAGGAGAGGGAACACAGCTGATCCACATCAGACTGATCAGCGGGGCGGCTTTGAAAGGAGGACGGTTATCCTCATTCGACGCCGGATGATTATCTACTGCCTGGTAGACTCTAGTCTCTCAGTGATTTCGAACCTCGTCTTGATTTTGAAACTTTTGAAACTTTGAAACTCGTTTTAACCTGAGCTCGTTTCTCTGTTTGGATACTCACCCACAGACTTACCTCATCGTTGGATCCTCTCCCGTCTCCGAGTCAAAGGATTATTCACCGTTCGTTTCCTGGATTACTACTCCACCTAGCCGCCCCGCTCTCCACCGATCACGCTCTCTCTCCTCTGCCTCATCCTCATCCGCCTCGTCCGTTCCACTCACCCACTCTGATAGTCACAAGTCTCTTCTGGATATCACACTTGCTCATCTCCCCTCCACATTCATCCCGAATTTCCTCATCGTAAGTTCCGCCCACAAACATTTCCTCTGAACTTCAACTCCCATTACTCACCTCTGGTTTCCCCCCTAGTTACCGCTTCCGGATTCATCCTCCCGCTGGATCTCCAGTACGCCTTCAGTTCACCTCCACATTTAAATAAATTATTGTTCTTCTTTTACCTCGTCTCCGTGCTTGATTCTGTATGTCTTGGGTTAGACACCTACCTCAAAACATGACAAACATATATATATTTCTATATATGTATGTATGTATGTATGTATACGTACACACACACACACACACACACACACACAGAGAATCACATCTAAGCACCATGACTTTTCACAATCCCTCTTAACTAGTCTGACAGAGCAATGGAAAGTATGTGTGTGTGTGTGTGTGTGTGTGTGTGTGTGTGCGTGTGTGTGTGTGTGTGTGTGTGTGTGTGTGTGTGTGTGTGTGTGTGAGAGAGAGAGAGAGAGAGAGAGAGAGAGAGAGAGAGAGAGAGAGAGAGAGAGAGAGAGAGAGAGAGAGAGAGAGAGAGAGAGAGAGTCAGCTGAGATGAGAGTGTGAAGCAGCAAGAGGGAAAGCCTGGGGGAAATAAACACACAAAAACAGCAAATCAGAGTGAGAGAGAGAGTGGTAGGAAGAGGAGAGAGGGAGAAGAAAGGCAGAACAGAGGAAAAGAAAGAGAAGAAAGCAGACAAATAAAAGGTGTAGCGCGAGTACTATCGTTGAGAGCTCCACCAGTCAAGAATGGCGGTGACTAGATGACAACACACACACATTCACACACAACTTACATCCCTTCCTGGAGCCTTGACAGGGAAATCCACTCTTCAGCTGGTCCTACATCACTGGATCATGTCGTCTACTGGGCCAACGAACCACAACAAGCATCTGACATGTGAGTTACAAACAGACTTAAGTCAACATACGTGTAGCTGTACAGCAGCTCAAACTTTACCTGAGCTTTACATAACTTTACTTCCTACAAAATCACTGCTAACTCTGTCATCTCTTCTTGCAATACAGTCAGTGATTAATGGTGCCACGTGATTGTTTTCTTACTTAATGTTTATTGCGTTTGTAACGATTTTTTAAAATCCTGTGTGTAAATCTGCATTAGGACTGTTATATAATTGTTTTCCACCGTGTTTCTGAAAACTAGACCCAAAGGATTAATTAGATGATTCCTCGGTTTAAAAAAAGCGACTACTTATTTTCTGTTGATCCTTTTCCTTTTGCTCATTATCGTCTTTCCTTCCAGCCCTCATTAAGAATACATGAAATAGACTCATAGCAGCCTTACTGTGGGCTATCTCTGTTAAGCTAAATTACACTGACAGCCTTGATGATGCAGCACTGTTGATGCAGATGAGATTTAATACCACAAAGGCTAATATAACAACTATTTCTTCAAACCATGAACAATATCCTCATGTTGAATTTCTCACCTGCTTCCTGCAGAAACACCTTCTCTTGAGATGAAGAAACAAATGCCTCGACATCAGCTGCTTTGTGTGCTCACTTGTACTATTTTCCACTTTCTGCCTAAACAAAGTGATCCTTTATGAGTCTGACTGAACACAGGCTCCAGACAGGCTGTTTGAGATTGCTTTGACTGGACTGATCAGGGATCTGTGACTTTGGATCATCTTTGTGTTTAGCCCAGATTTAGGACCTCTCTCGGCTTCAGGGATGGGAGTTTAACTTGATCAAACGGTGATAACTCACTAAGGTGCATGCAGCTTTCCAGATGGAGAAAACACAATCATACAGACTTCAACGTGTTCTCTATATTTCCAGCATTTAGCTTCCTGCAATAAGACACACACGATGCTGGCTGCTGTAGAAAGGCAGGACAGCACAAATGGCCAGTGCTGATTTACTCCCAGCCACATGGCTGTGGGCTTATGGATAAATGAGTGTGTGGGCAGTGAGGGAAACAGGGAAGCACAGAGGGGGGAGGTGACTATCGCGGTGCAGTGATCTCACTCATAAATGATTTATGTTCAGTGGACCACCGTGGCCACAAGGCGGGCAGAAAGGAGTGCTTGGCTTGATGAATAATGGTAGTAAATTCTGAAAAATATGTAGCTGTGTATTGGTGAGAGAGATGGGTCACACCACCATGGAATCTTGTGGGGGACGGGGTATTGAAGGCGAGGAGGGGAGGAGATAGATGTGCTGTCAGGTCAAAGTGGCAACGCAGCATAAACGCCTTACGAGTATCACACACACACACGCGCGTGCGTACCCACACACACACACACGCACGTGCATGCATGCATGCACTTTTGTGTTGACTGAAATCAGAAAGATGATCATGGGATTTCTGTTCCCTTGCCACAGGGGAGCTGATCGCTACACCGTGTGACTCAGAGGTTCAATAGGGGCGCCTGTTTTCCTCTAGTGTCCATGCCTGAATAGAGCTGCAACACTAAATGAGACAGAGCTGGTGCTGAAGATTTGTCCAGACAGAAAACTATGAGGGGCTGGAAAAAAAAAAACCTACAAAGTTAAAAAACTTGAGTGAAAATGGAAAGACTGACTGGATTATTTTATCCAGGGCAAAGGGATCAGACCAGAAGTGTGGAAGATCAGAAGGGAGAGAAAGTCATGTGTTTCAGCTCGACTGTGATTCCCTACCCGGGGACTCCCACCCCCACTCCACCAGTAAAAGCACACGAGCAACAAAGAGTCTGCATGACTAGAAAAGACCAATAAAATAGTAACAAAAGAAAATGTTTAAATAGGTCATTTTTTTCCGTAACAGTCCCTTAAAATCACACGATGTCTTCATATCCACTTTTATTTGACAACATGAGGCTTAGCTGAGGCAAGCAGACACTGAAGCTCTTTCCCTCAAATCACTGACACTACAGTTACTTTATACTAGGAACAAAACACAGCAGATTGCATAACCGCATTCTGCTTTCTTTGAGAAACTTTCTTCTCTCCATCCTTCCGTTCTTAATTCCCCTTTTTCCCTTAAAACTCAGCTCAACGTGAGATCCTCGAGAGTGCAAAGAAACAAGAAAATAAGCTATTTTGCCACGCACAACAAAACCACTGTGGGAGTCTAGGGTGCTGAAGGGTGTGCAGCTTAAGGATTGTAGCCGTATTATGCAATGCTAAGACTTAAATAATGATGGTGTAGTGTGGGCTGAGCAGTTGCAAGGGCTTATGGGTAGGGGACATAGGGCCCAAACATCATGAGATTTTGAAAAAAGTTAAAGTGACGATGAGTATTTTCCCTGGTGGAAGAGGGCAGTACCTATATCATTGCAAGTAAGCAGTATTTTTGTGTTCAAAGAAGACCTTACCAACGGATGGCCATTAGGGTCAAAAATCCAGCAAAATAACAAGCACGTCAGACTGGCTTTCATTGATTTCAACATGTGAAATCAAATTGCACATACCTGCTGCTATATGTTTTGTATATTATTAGCGATATTTACCTGTTTAATATTATCTTATTGTTAGGGATGTTTTTTGTTTTGTTATTGTTGTGCATCTGCACTTTATGTAAATGTCTACGCATGGGACAGTGTGAAACGTAATTTCAATTCCTTGTATGGCAAGCACATTCGAAGAATTGACAAATAAAGTATTCTATTCTATTCTATTCTATTTTATTCTATTCTATGTGAAACAACAATGTTTATAAATGGTGACACTTTTGTAGCTGCTTGTTACATTAAATGCATTTTGTCCTCACGGGCTCCTTTAGAAGGAAACATGGCGTCTAATATGGCGTCGCCCAGAGACTTAGACCCACTCCTGTGTATTTTAGACCGGATTTTTATGGTTATATGTTACAAAGCCGCTAATATTTTTCAACCACTGGGCATCATTTAAATCATTGCCAACAACATTTTGGTGGATCTTTCCAAAGATTAACAGTAAACACTACACATTGTCTCTTTAAAGACGGTAAATGTCCATTACTTTCACAACCTCGTTCACTTCGTTTGATCACATCTTGTACCTAATAACTCTTGCAAAGAAATGTCTTGATTTGTCAGAGGACTGTTTAAGTGGAAAACAAAAATCGATAGTCAGAAAAAACATGCAAGAGAGGCTGGTGGTTCAACAGGAAGGGATTCCCCCAGGTCTTAGAACAGTTGGGTTGCACACAGAAGGCAGCAATAATGAAAACTCAGCCAATCTGTATGAAGACTTCCTACAAGTATCCCACTTCAGGGTGGCAGGAAGCTCAGAGGCTAGATGAGTCAGTTTTCTACATACATACACGTCCTTCACCCACACAGAGGCAGACAGATGTGCAGCTGAGCCTGCATGTGGGTCAGCTATGTCCAGTGGTCATCTAGACTTGACTAATGTAAGATGATTTATAAAAAAAATAGAAAAATAAAAGGCTGCAACAAAAATGTCACAGAGAGAGAGAGAGAGAGGGAGACTTTTTTGACTTTTAAATTATTTATTTTTCTTTACAAATCAACAATCAGCGTTAATGACTGAAACTTGTTTTCCACTAATAAAACCAGGAAAACTGATAAGCCCACAGTTTAGAGGTTGATCTTTAGAGAGCCCTGTCCATCCAGCAGACAGAGTACCTGCCCGACCCTGCACACCGCTCTAAAAAAGTCCAGGTTCCCAGTAAGTTCATAAAAAGTGTGTTCGATCTTTAAGCGAGCTTCCACCAGGCCCTTCAGGCTCCGCTCAGCATCAGTCCAGCTCTGTCCCAGCATCTGGTTTTGCCTGGTTTTCCAGACGGCTAGTTTTGCACATGCAAATAAAAAGTTAATTGACAATATTGTCCGTTTTTTTCTGACATTGTATTTGGGCCCGAAAACAAATAAGGGTAGGATAAAAGCCTCCCCCAGTGCACTAACCCACTGTTCTAAAACCTTAAACATCCCTGATAACCTAGAACATGCTACCACTAGATGCTCTAGGGCAGGGGTGTCAAACTCATTTTAGCTCAGGGGCCACATTGAGGAAAATCAACTTCAACAAAAACAACTTCAGATTGTTTCCTTTGTTTTAATACAATCATTATAAAACAAGGCTGGAGCCTGAGGACAGTGTATCCAAAATAGTACAAGTACAACACCTGAAGTGTACTTGAAAATTTGAAAAAATAAATGAATAAATAAAAATTCCTTAGTGATTCAAAGAGCTTACAGATCACATGGCTAGATCAGTTTCATGCAGCACTTAAAGTATATTTGGCTCATTTTACTTTACATCTTTTAGCTTTCACCAGCACATCAATATCAGGAGTCACATCCTGAGTGGCGGCCAACTTCAGGATGTGATTCAAGTTCTTGTGTGGGCCTTGTGTCATCGCGGGCGGCAGTCTTTTGACCCACGACATGCAGAATCACCACACAGGAACCGGTAAGTAAGTAAAACGACTTTATTATATACTGAAGAGCAATGAGGGGAACAGACGACGGGCAGGCTGGCAGCAAGATTTCAGGATGGAACTCTGAGGAGGGAGACAGAGTGAGTATATGGAGGGAATGACGGAGAATGATATTGGGAGTGGAGCTTACTGATTGCAGTAGTGGTGAGAACTTCCGGAGGGATTGGTCAGGTCCGGGTGAGCAGGAAAGCTCCAGAAGGTGATGGGACTGTTGGTCCAGAGAGTAGATAGGAGCAGCGGTTTGGTGAAGGCAGGTGAGCGGCTGAGAGCGAGCGGCCAGGGGAGGAGACAGCGTGATCCGGTGTGCAGGAGTCCAAGCTGGTTATGGAGGTGGTGGAGTGTGAAGAGAAACCTGGAGCAGAGCAGGGGAGGATAATCAGGGTTTCCTCTGGCGACAGAAATCTAGCAGAGCTTCAAACACAGGTAAGTGACTAGGAACCAGAAATTTCACAGGATCAAGACAGGTTAAAGCTAGAGCTACCCAAGATAGAGTAATCATCCGGCGAAGT